CTCACCCAAGTCAGAAGTCCCTCTTTGCTTTACAAGAAACTAAACCTTGACAAAAAGACCGGCTTGTCTTTTCAGCAAAATCAAGAGTTGCAAAGTCAGACTGCAGTTTGATTCAAATGGGGTATTGAACCAATCACCACGTCACCTATATTCAATACTTCAATTTAAAATTCATATGCACAGTAGGAGAGATGGAGGGCTTGGCGGGTTAGTCTGCCCTGAGTCTGGAATGAGCCCTGAGAAAAAGACTGACGTTTTAAAATCCAGTGTTTTCAGACTGTTAGGAATATAGAGAAAGCGGATAACAGACAGATGACTTGGAAAAGCAAAGTAAACAAGCACCAGCCAGCCCGCCAGCCTGGGTAACTCCCTGCAGCTCCACCGGGAAGCATGCTGAAGTCGCCCCCTGGTGGCAGTGTGCAGCCACCCACCCCCGAAGCCAGGGTGCAAAAATGGGACTTCACCAGACCAGCCTCAGGACAAGCACAGGCCACGCGGTCAGAGGAGCACCCCGGTTATTTTCTCATCATTTTAGATCTGTCATATTTGCCAGATGATGTGACACTTTTTTTCCCCTGGGCACATCTCCCAGAAAAGCATACGTAGCTATTTATTTCCTTGGGTCTTCCTCACCATACACAGCGCTCCCCGCAGTGAGTTTAGGAATAACTGGGAAGATGGCACAGAGCCAGGCAACCCCTTGTTTAGCGGCACACGGGGTGGAGGGGGTTCTCGGGAGTCAGAGATAACTCACAGCAAAATCGCTGAATCCACGCTCCTGCCGCCACAACCCTGAGACCAGATGGTGTCCAGAGACCACAGCTGACTGTGCTGAAAGGGGCCACAGCAGGAAGTCCTGGAGGAAAAAATGTGAGGGGAAACTCAAAATCATTTTAAAAGATTAGCTCGACTGGCCTGCTAGAGACAGGCAGAAAGAACCCTGGGGACTGTGGCCCTTGGACACCCTTCAATCTGGAACCAAACTGACCCGGTAGCTCAACTTTTAGCCCATCGATGAACAGGAACACCAGGAAGGTACTCACGCCTGAGAACAATCAGGCACAGGAGAGCAAAGGGGAGGCATTTGCACCAGGAGAGAGCTTAGACTGCAGGAAGGGATAGGCGAGGAGGTTGGATGGAAAAATCGGCAGCACGGGGAGGATGTGGGAAGGTGGGGATTACAAACAATGTCACAGGAAGGCACTAGTATGAATGTTTCCGTGGAAAACCAATTTTCTCTGTAAATGTTCCGTCCAGATGACAGCTTTTAAAAAACGGATGGATCCGATATGTCCAATTGGAGGAAGGGACAGGCCGCTTTACATCCTGAGGGAGGGGTGAGAATTGAAGGATCCTATAAGCTGACTGGGATCGGGAGTCTTCCTGGGAGGCACACCTCAGCCCCTCTTCCCCAGCCCAGCCTGCAGTACCATCCGGCCCCCCACCCCAAGCACCACTGAGGAAGAGAACCCCTTCTCACTAACCATGTCTCTCGTGAGCTGGTATCTCCTGGCGACTTCCCAGGGATGGAATCAGCCTCTCCTTCTCGGGAGTGGGGTTCCCCTCTCCCTCTCTTATTAAGTCTTCTCTGCCTACTTTCCCCCCAGTCAGGATCGGAGCCCAGGACCTCCGGCGTGGGTGTTCATACTCTTGCTTCCTCCTTTCCTTTTGGAAAACACCTTGGCTCTGGACTGCTAGGACTGTAGAGATGCCATTTGGAAAAGCCACGTGACGTGCACCAGCCAGCCCGCCAGCCTGGGTGACCCCCTGCAGCCAGGAAGCATGTTGAAGTCCCCCTGGGGGCAGTGTGCAGCCACCACCCACCCTCAGCGCCAGGGATGCCAAAGCGGGACTTCCCCAGACCCGCGCATGTCGGCAGCCACAGGACAAGCGCAGGCCACGCGGTCAGAGGAGCGCCCCAGTTATTTTCTAATCGTTTTAGATGCGCCACATTTGCCAGGTGATCTGTCCTCGCGTTTCTTGACCACATTCCCCCAGATAGTATACCTACCTATTTCCTTGGGTCTTCCTTCATTGCTTCCTTCCTTCATTGTATCCATGTCAAGCACCCCATGGTGGGAAACACGGACAGAGCGATCTCTGGCCTCCGGAAACTTAACCCTGCAGGCTGGACCGACCACCCGGCTGCTTTGGACGGGGTGGACGGGCGGCCCCTGGTGTTCGCAGAGTAGAACTGCTCCGCGGAGTGTTCCTGCCTGGCCTTTTTCCCACCATGGTTGGGTTCAAACCTCCAACCTTGACGTTGGCACACACACCCCGCTCCCACCCCACCCCCCACGCCACCACCACTTTCTTCACGTTAAGTCCAATTCCTAGCCACACTAAAGGGCAGAGAAGAACTGCTCCCTAGAGCTTCCAGAGACTGTGGGCTGTGACGGGCGCGCGCAGGCCTCTTTCTTCCGTGGGACTGGTTGATTTGAACTGCCGACCTGGAGGTTCAAATTGCAACGCTTCTTGAGAGGAACCTTACAGGTAGCTATGTGAACTGACAGACGAGCAAAGCACACCGTCATCGAGTCCGTTCAGACTCACCGCAGTGCTGCGCGGGGTTCCGGCTGCCGAACTCTAGCCGGGCAGGATTGCTTCATCCCTCTCCCAAGCTGCTGCTGGTGGATTTGAACCCCCGCCCTTCATGGTTAGCAGTCTGGTGCTTACCCAACAGCGAGAGCACCCAATACCTCAACCTCAACTCTGCCAAGCAGATGCTGGCTCACAGCAACCCGATAGCACAGGGTCAAAGAACTGCCCTGTAACTGCTTCCGGGAGTAGAGGGCCCTGTCTTTCTGCTACTGAGCAGCTGGTGGCTTTGAACTGCTGACCTTATGGATCGAAGCCCAACAAATAACCACGACACCAGCCACCAGGATTCCTCGAGAGCGCCACCAGGGCTCCTTAGACAGCTACATAGCTCTAGATATATAGAGGCACAGATATTTGAAGGGCAGAATGGTAATATCAACCCATATTAGACAACATAAAATGTAAGGCAAAGAATTAATTCGGTTAAAAAAATCATTTTATATTTGACAAACGATTCAGAATCCGGTGTTAACTAATGTTTATTTGAGTGCCTACTGTATGCCTGGTACTGCGCCTGGTGTTTACATGTATTTAATTGGTGAAGACAGCAATACTGCACTTACATGTCTCACACTACACAGCTGCTGAGCATAAGAAGCAAAGGTGATAAAAATATACTGATAAACACAAGCATAGTAGCAGATTTACACATAGCCCTATTGTTGTTGTTCACAGAGAGCATAGGTCAAAATTAAATAATGCTTGAGTCTCAATAATATAATTGATAAGACATTGCTAATAACAGACACTTAGAGTTCTGACAGTTACAGACAGAATACATATCCATCTTAAATGTTTGTGAAACATTTATCAAAATATAAGTGTATTTTCCAGGCCACAATAACATCTTTTAAAAGAATTTTGAAAGCAAAGTATAGACCAACATTCTCTGTTTACAGTGCAGTAGAAGAAGACAGATAAACTATTTTTAAAACGAAACAGGAACCCAATCACTAGGTTTTAAAGCACGTTTCTAAAACGCTGCCATAGGATTCTTAGATAACAACATAAAGAATAAAGTTAAGTATCAAACTCTAAGATGTGACCAGAGCTATAACCAGAAGTACATTTATTTCATTAAGCATATTATCATACCAAATATTCTTTTAAAAAAAAGACAATATAATTAAATTCAGCATTCAACTTAAACACCGAGACAAGGGATGAAAACAACCAGAAACAAACAGAGTACAAATTAAAGGAAAATCACTAAATTGCAAATGAGATAAATAATGGATATAAGTAAACTTCAGTGTTGTCTCTTTGGGAAAAAGTAGTTATCTCTATAAACCTTTGGAAAATCTACTAACGTGTAACCCACAAACAGTAGGTAAAAGGAGAACAGGGATAGAACAGATAGAGATAATTCTGTTGAATGCTAAAATAAGAGATGCATAATTCATCTGAAATGCTCTGTGGAGTTAACCAAGAATTCTATGGGGTAAAGGAAAATTGCAGATGATTAAAAAAAAAATAAATTCATGAAGTAGAGTCTCAATGGAATGATAATACTGAAAGAAAGAGAAAGCTGCCCAAGAATTAGCTGAAACTTCCCCTCCGTGGCTGCAGGACCGAATTGCTTTACTAGTGAATTCTTGTACAATGTCAAGAAATTGATACCTGTCATTCGACAGAAACAAGTCCAAAAGTAAAAGGGAGTGAACATCACTCACATCCGCCACTGACACAAACTTATCCCGGACACCAGAATTTGACAAAGATAGCACCAATCTCACGTGTGAACCTAGAGACCAGAAGCTATGTTGAAGACAGAGGTAAACGTACACAAACGATCCAAGAACAGACCTCAGCACGTGGAAAGGCTGGTGTGCTAGTGAAAAGATGATTTGATGTTAGGAAACCTACCACCAAACTTCACCCATCCTGCGGGGCACATTTTTCTCACCTTCGCTGGTCAGGATGCAGCTTCCAGTTTGCTACGTCCGACACCTCTCACTTTCCTGTCTCAAAAAACAAAGCCCACCACCATTGAGGCGATGTTGTCTCATAGCAAGCCAATAGGACAGAGGGTTTCCGAGAGGGTGGATCTGTATGAGAGCAGACGGCCTCATCTTGTTTCCTGAGACCAGCTGGTGGGTTTGAACCACCTACCTGTGGTTAGCAGCCCAATAACGCTTGCCCTACTGCATGCACCCCCTGGGCTGGTTTCTCTTTCCACAGTATTAAAAAAAATGATAATAATATCATTCTGAGCCCATAAGGCCCTAAGTCAGATGAGATACAGTCGTGGTAAACCTCACAGCAACAGAGTGAGTGCCGAGACAAACCTGACAAAAACAAACAAATCATCGGGACGGTGCTTGAAAGGCATTTGATAAGATTCCATACTCATTGCCAATTGTTGTCACCAGGCTGCTTCCTTAACAGACACAGGGCAGCATCTGTTTCAAAACAACAGCCACCGTTCACGGTTAAATGTGGAACATCATAGGCATCCCTGTTAAAACCAGGAACAAAAACAGCACACACACTACCAAGACTATGGTCGTCTGCTGTGGGGCCTTTGACCACTCCACAAAGCCCTGAAACAGAAAGAGAGAGAAAGGGGGTGGGGGGGGAGTATAAGTATTGGGAAGAAAATGGTCCCTGTTGCTATTTACAGGAAACTGGGAATTAGAAGGTGTATCTACGGAAAAGCTAGCTGAATAGAAATCCCTATATTATAATCCAGTGGCTGGATATAAGATAAATACTCCTATACAAAAGTAAGCAACATTCCTAACGACTGAAAACGGATCCTACGTAGCAGAGTAGACCTGCCCCCTAGGGTTTCCAAGACTGCCATATTTCTGTCCCAAGACTCAGGTGATGGGATCCAACCACTGACATTCTGGTTGGCACTGAGGCTAATTTTTCGGTCAAACTCATTAACTCACAGCCATCCAGCCATCCAGGGTAGAACTGCCCTGTAGTAGGTTTCTGAGACTCTTAACTCTTTATGGGAAGAGAAAGCTTCGTCTTTCTCCCAAGAAGCAGTAGAGCAGTGGTTCTCAACCTTCCGCATGCCGCAACCCTTTCATACAGTTCCTCATGTTATGATGACCCCATATGTGGGCATATCTGCATGTGGGTGGACTCGCCTGCAGATGGTTAGAGGAGTGGTGTCTCGGTTCCTAAGACCATCGGAAATATGGTCTTTGGAGACCCCTGTGAATGGGTCGTTCGGCCCCCAAAGGGATCGCAATCCACAGGTTGACAACCGCTACAGTAGATGGTTTTGAATCGCTGACCTCGAAATTAGCAACCTAGCATGTAGCACACCACCTGGGCTCCTTCCTATGAACTATCGTAGGAAGTTTCAGACTCATGGTCCATCTAAGGGGCATTTCAACATGTCATGAATACATTTAAGGTCTCGCACGTTTAAATCCCATCCATCCTCTAATGGCCTCCAAACACACATACCGGCACGCACACATTTCTTGACCCCATCTCTCTCTGGGCCCGCTAACTGACGTACACGTCTTCTTCAACTGTACACATCCCAGACAGATAGCCTGCCTGTTGTGGAGAACCATTCAGTTGATTCTGTCTCCCGGAGATTCTATATGATGGGGTCAAACAGCCCCAAATGATTCCCTAGCGGGGTTGGGGTTAAGTGTAGGGAGAAGATAGGCAAGTCTTTTCTCCACCAAGTTCAAATCACTAACCTTCTTATTAGCCACCGGTGTGCTTCACCGATGTGCCACTACGGTTCCTTGATATTCTAATACCGAAAAGGGATTGATGCTAACTCCCACGGGCCGATAAGAGGGTCCCCAACACTGTCAGTCTTCACCGCCGTCCTCCTACAGAGCAACTGGTAGGTTTAAACCTTGAGGCTAGCGATCCAACACAGAGCCCACAGCAACACCAGGGCTCTCTGATATCCTAATACCACCCCCTACCACACACACACAGACACACACACACACACACACTAAAACCTCCTCCATACTTTCCCCCACATCACTTCTCCACATCTTTCGTGGTTCCAGCAGAATGTCTTCTGCTCCTCTCGCTGGGCACCCACCTCCTAGGCACACACAGCACACAGACACACTCTCCTCTGTGCCTGGCTACCACAGGAAGGCATCCTGTTCCCAGTGGGAAACCACTTGGGGCTCTCCTCCCTCCTCAGCCTGCTGTGGGGCAGGAACATTCCGTGCATCCAGGGGAAACATCCAGGAGCCCCTGAGCCATGCAGGATGCAACATTTGATGAATGAAGAGAGGAACCCCAACTGACCTGAGAGTCTTCTGACTCATCGTCCTCATCCATTGAGCTCCAGTCCTGGGAGAGGGCGGCCTCTTGTGAAGACAGGTCTGCGTGGAGACGGGTGTGGAAGGGGAAAGGAGACGTGAGTAGCTAGGATGGCAGTGGGTGGAGAGTGGGCACCTCTTGCTCTTTCTGCCTGGCATCCTACCTCTTTCTGGCTAGCATCCTATCTTACCCCCATGCCACTCTGGCCCATGTGGTTCGAGTACAGCTGAGAGAATTGATAAATAAATCAACCTGAATCCTGGTGCTGTTTCTCTACGACCTGGACAGTTGACTTATAACGGGTCACCTGGTGTGCTGTGCCATCTGATCCCTTGTGAAATGGCCAGTCCAGTAGTCCAGACACAGGTACTTCCCAGACATAGCCAAGTATCTCAAAAGGCTTGGTTTACTGGGATTGAAGGCTCTTCACCATAGACTTCTGGGGAAACAGCGCATTGGTACCACATGGTACACAAAGTTCATGGTCTATGTCCTTTTCTGGGTTCTTAAAAGCTTGTGATGGGCCATCGGAGAGGACAAGGACCGGTCTCTACTCCTCAGGAGTGAAAGAGAATGAAGGAAACCAAAGGCAAGAGGAAGAAGCTGGCCCAAGGATGAGTAGCCCACATGAGCCAGGGCCTCTTCACACTTGACACTAGAAAACGAGTGACTGACTGTAGAAAACGAGTGACTGACTGTAGCTACCTGTCACGCTGTAATAGAAAGTCCCGGAGAGGATGGGAGACAAATGTTGACCAGAACTCAAAGTCATTCATTCACATTCATTCACTCATTCATAAATAAAGACATAAACAAACAAACAAACCTCCTGGACTGAGTAGAGCAGTGGTTCTCAATCTTCCTCATGCTGCCACCCTTTCGTACAGTTCCTCATGTGGTGGTGACCCCCCAACCATAACATTATTTTCGTTGCTACTTCATCACTGTCATTTTGCTATTGTTAAGAATTGTCATGTAAATATCTGATCTGCAGGATGTATTTTCATTGTTACAAATTGAACATCATGAGCGCATAGTGATGAATCACAAAAACAGTACGTCATTATAGATGGTGAAATATTTCATTCTGATGACAAATCAATGAAATTGTGTCATAAAGCATGGTGTCGCATGGGTAACAGTCTTCATGCCGGGTCCTCGTAGGTGGGCATATCTGCATGTGGATAGACCCGCCTGCAGACGGCTAGAGGAGCAGTGTCTCAGTTCCTAAGACCATCGGAAATATGTGTTTTCCAATAGTCTTAGGCCACCCCTGTGAAGAGGTCGAGACCCACAGGTTGAGAACCACTAGAGCAGAGGCTAAAGGAATCCCTAAGATATCCTTTGAAATCTAAAATGGAAAACAAGCCAGAGGTCACCCACAGACATGCACTAGATGGGCTTATGCCACAAACCGCACTGGCCCTGAGTCATGCGTCCCTTCAACAGTGGACTATAGGGGCCCAGCACTGGCCCAAAAGCAAAGGGGAGAAGGCAAGGAGGTCACAGGGAAGCTGGCTCAGTGGGAAACAGAACAAAACAGGATGGAAACCAGGAGAGTTCTGGCACACCGTGAACATCATAGGCAAGGCCACGGGACAACCCATACAGCAGGGGTGACAAGGGCACCCAATGAACGGTGCAAACGTTCACCAAATGGAAACACAACAGAAGACTAAAGAGACAAAAGAGAGGGTAGATTAGGAACAGGTACCGGGAAGACATGGATGCGAGCAAGTATAAATGGGGTGTGCGATAAATACCACTTGCAGATCTCAGGAATGGGCGCTGAAAGAGACAAAGGCCTTGCCCCCACAACCAACAGGGAGCACATGAGCTGCGCCTCGAGCAGGGGTTCTCAACCTGTGGGTCGCGACCCCTTTGGGGGTTGAACGACCCTTCCACAGGAGTCGCCTAAGACCATCGGAAAACACATTTCCAATGGTCTTAGGAACCAAGACGTTGGTTTTTTAAGCATACTGTCCCAAAATGTAGCAATGTAGTTTACTGTTGTTATAATAAGACTGTTACCCATGCTACACCATGCTTCAAGACAAAATTTCATTGATTTGTCATTAGAAATAAATATTTCACAATACATAATGACATACTGTTTTTGTGATTCTTCACTATGTTTTCATGGTGTTCAATTTGTAACAATGAAAATACATCCTGCAGATCAGATATTTACACGACGATGCATAACAGCAAAACGACAGTGATGAAGTAGCAATGAAAATAATCTTATGGTTGGGGGTCACCACCACAGGAGGAACTGTATTAAAGGGTCGCAGCATTAAGAAGGTTGAGGACCACTGGGTTAGAGCAAGCACCCTGAATGCGGAGTTCTAGCCTCCTGAACTGTGAGAAACTACATTTCTGTTCGTACAGTGCCCCCATTTGGGCCATTCCAGTTACTGCAACAGTAGATGCGGAGACACGGGTAGCCACGTGTGGTTATTGTTCACAATGACCGTATAAGGCAGGGTAGGTCTGAACCGAGAGGTCTCCTATGCTTTCTTCTCTGCAGGAACGAATTACCAGGACTTTTCTCCCCGGGACCTGCTAGGGTGGGTTTGACCACTATAGTTCACTGAGCAACCCAACCAGGGCTCTTGTGACTGCCACCCAAACGGGACAAAACGCGCACTGCTGTGGAGTAGGTGCTGTCTCTAGCAGGCCTGGAGGGCAGAGTAGGGCTGTCCCTAAAGGGGTTCAAGGCTGACTATGCTTAGAGAAGCCGGCTGCCGAATCTTTCTCGAGCGTCCTTGTCTGCAGGAGTGGCAGCCGGGTTCAAACTGCCCACGTGTCAGCGGGCAGTGCTGCCACCACTCTGCGTTCCCTAAGTATCTGTGGAGTGAATGAGTGAAGGAACGAATGCTAAATCCTCCCCTGAGCTCCTCGGAGACGTGTCCCCCCAGCTCCTGCGGGACCCAGGGCCCTCACCTCGCTCATCGCTGTCCAAGCTGCTGGCCCCGACATCCACGGCCTCCCAGTCCCGGGTGAAGGTGGGGTGGGCCTGCTTCTCCCAGGTGCGGCTCTCGCGAGGCAGCAGCGTCGTGGCGCGCTCGGGCTCCAGCAGGCCCCGCAGCTGCTCGGCCTTGAGGCTCTGCATGTCTCCCAGAGGTGGGGCTTCCAAGAGGGCCGCGGGGGGCAGACCAAAGCCTCTTGCTGACTCCCCCTCCTCCGGCTCCAGGGTCCCGACTGGTGCCCTGGGCACAGGATGTGGAACCTGCGGGCTGACAGACACTTACTTTAGTCATCCCACAAGCATTTGTCTGTCCCCGTGGGACTTCTGATCCAGGGGAGAAAACAACAGGCCGTGAACAAATACATTACAGCGTCTGTTTGGAACGTTCATGGGGGCCTTCTGCCTCTCACACGTGAATTGTATGTTTTGGTCTTTCTACTAATCTGATTTTATCCTTACCACCTTAGTGCCCTTTTTATCATTTTCTGTTGGGTTTTCTGTTGGGTTTCCCAGTGGTGAGGCCCAGCAGGAGTGGATGCCTAATGACACTGGACACACACGGGGTTATAGGAGATGGAGGGGTGGGGGATGGGCCGTAGGGAGGGAAAGGGGATTTCGGGAATAAATCATGAAGACGGAGGGGAGGAGGGAGCTCTAGAACTGGTCGTTGATTGTACAACTCAGTTTGGGGGCGATTTAGCCATGGGGTGGGGGCCGTTGGGGGGAGGCTCTAAGATGGATGTGGTGCTGATGTTACAACTCCCCTTGAGGTGATTGGACGATTGAACTATTCAATTGTATGATATGTAAATGTGTGCCAATAAAACTGTTGGGGGGAAAATAATAATCATTAAGGACAGGATCCAAAAGAAATACAGGTTCATCTTTACAACCAGGATGCTCCTTAGAAGCGAAGATGGGAGACTTCTTTCTCTCACATACTTTGGGCCTGTTACCAGGAGAGGCCAGTCCTTGGAAGGACTTTGTAGAACAGAGTTAGTGAAAAACAGGAAGGCCATCCATAGTGGCTGCAACAATGGGTTTGAACGTAGCGGTGAGAGGATGTCTGGCTGTTGCTAGGACTCTGAACACATTCCACAATACCTCTCCATGACATATGATGGCGTACCCCAAAAAAAACCCGAATTGTGCTGGGCGGAGCAGTGCTTTTGTAGCACACATTTTAGCAATTTGCTCTGAGTTAGTGAACCCAGTGGTGTCACCTGCAAAGGTTCTCTCTGGTCACAGTGAATTTTTTCATAAAAGCAGTTTTGCTTACGAGAACAGCATGTGGCTGTGAGATTTTGTTTCCTGCCCGGGAAAAATGCCACAGAAACGGTTGTGATGTTGAATAGAGCATACAAGGACGGTGCTATGGGAAGAACTCAAGTGTACGAGTGGTTTTCTCATTTCAAAAGAGGTGAAATGTCGATTGATGACAAACCTCGTTCTGGACGTCCACCAATGTCCTGAACAGACAAAAATGTCACCTGTAGTGCATTTGGAGTTCGTTTCACCAGGTCAGACGTAAATCAAAATTTCTGTTTAGAGGTTCTGAAAAGATTGTGTACCAGTGTGCGACAAAAAAGGCCTGACTTGTGGCTGATGGGGGACTGGGTTTGCCACCACAGCAAGGCACCTGCTCACTCAGCCATCTCAGTGTGCCCGTTTTTGGCAAAAAAAACACAACAACACAACATTCCTCTCTTGCCCCACGAACCTGACTCACCCTCTGTGGGACTTCTTTTTGTTTCCTCCAAAGCAGAGGGACATGAAAGTACAGTGATCCGATGAAGTGCAAGAGGCGAGGAACAAACGGAAGTGCTGTCAGCCATCAAACAGATGGGTTAGAAAAAACGTTTCCAAGAGTGGAATCGCAGATTTGACAGATGTATTAAGTGTAAAGGAGAGTACTTTGAAGATGACAAGGTTGTTTGGTAAAAAAAATTTAAATACCTAGCTTTGGGAGGAAAAAATTCAGTTGTTTTTTGCGGGGTACCCCTCACATTCACTGCAGTGCTATTCACAACAGCCCAAAGGTGGAAACCACCCAAGTGTGCACCGAGGGATGAGTGGAAACAGGAAATGTGGCGTGTGCACACGGGGGATGTCACTCACTCGGCACGGGTCAGGGGTGCCTGGAGGCTGCAAACGGAGACTCAGTCAACTTCTAGCTGAAAGGCTGGCAGTTCAAACTCACTTCCTAAAACAGACCTGACAATCTGGCCTCCAAAAAGTCGCCGCCTTGAAAGGTTCCCGCTAAGCTGTTCTGTGCTGAGTGGACTGGGGCACCATGAGTAAGCTTCAAGGGGACAAGGAACAACACTGGCCTAAAGGTTGCAGTTATGGGAACACCCAGAGGTGCCCTGGTGTGGGAAACAGAGAACCTGGGAAGAGAGGGCATGCGGACAAGTTCTCTACGCTCAGAATGAAGGGGTGTGGGAGGCGGAGACTGGTGGAGGGAGCCCTTCATGCTCGTGAGTCGGGGGATGAATCCCAGTCACATTCTTCTAGGTAAAAGTTATTCCCCGCCACGTCCCTGTAATGAAGCCAATCTTAAGGGGCTGCTTGCACGCACATGGTTGTGTTAGCTATGCTTGAAGGTAATCTGCCTGAAGGTTGTCTGCCATGAGAGCAATCAGACCCTATTGTCCGCCCCACCCTAAGTAATCCCACTCGTTCTGATACTGATCATAGACTGTTCCCCTGGAGAAGAGCTCAGAGACAGCTAAGGTCAAGCCAGCTCCGGGATGACCAAAGTTAACCCGCCATCTTAACTCTAGTACCTCCCCTTCCTATTGTGTATGCCTCCAGTATCCGCCCTTCCTGTACGTTTGTGTATGACGTGGCTTGCATGACTGATGGTTGTATAAGCCTGTTAGAGAATACACTCGCGCGCTCACTGGTTCCATACTCCATGTAAGCGCGGTCCCTTTAAATTACCACTCCTCAGGAGCCTATCTGTCCTATCTGAAAGGCAGGACTGGCTGGTGAACATCTTTCTGAAGGTCATGGCCAAGGAGCAGCTCCACAAGCTGTCCTGCACATGCGGCATCGTCAAGAGTTGGGACCAACCCAACAGCAGCTGACAACATTCTTTTGTGCCTTCTGACGGCCTTCGGGAGAAGGGCCCGGTGTGGGGCTGATAGACCTTCATGGTGCTGAGCCCCCTTTCAAAACATGCCTCTGGCTCCAAGTTAGAATGCAGCGACATGTGTCTCTCTCTCACGGTGTCCATTTCTGGAATCACCCTCAATGACCGTGCAGAATGTGTGAGTCCCTCTTGACACCAGCTTTCTCTTGACAGGAGTGAAAATGTTTCCCTTTTAGACAGATGGACATAGGTTTCAAGAGCAGGTATATGGGCTGTGTGTGTGAGGGAGGGGTGTGTACATGGACTCAACCTCTTTGGGAGAATATTTGGCAATGTTCCTACCGAAGCAAAATGTACACGACCACCAGACCCAGTGCCTTCCAGTCAATTCCCACCCAATGTGGAATCCACTCGCTTAGGACAGAGTAGAACTGCCCTCGTCAGGTGTCCCAGGCTGTCAATCTTTTGTTCCACTTCTACTGGCTCTTCACCCACACATCAGACAATCCAATAGTTCAGTCATATCAAGAAGAGTTGTACAATTATTACCACCACATTCGATTTTAAAATGATTTCTTGTATACCTTGTTATTCATGTAATCATTCGGCGATAAACCTTGACGGAAGCAGAATTGCCACACCGCCCTCCCTTTGAGCGGCTGGCCGGATAGAACCACCCACCTTTCAGTCAGCAGCCAAGTTCCTCCAGTGACATCCCAGAGGTCATGGGCTGACACACAGTAGGTGCTCCATACGTAGACACGCCCACGGGCAGCAGTGGACACAGACACACACTCTTACAACAACAGCCAGCTGTTGGTTCAAGTTGATTTTCACTCCAGCTGGCCATGTGCATGTCAGAGAAGACCTGTGCCCCAGGGGATTATCAGACAATGACCTTTTTCAAAGTACACCCCCCGGCCTTTCTTCCCAGCCACCTCCTTGTGGACTCGAACTTCCAGCCTTACAGCTCACAGCCTTACGTGTTAACTGTCCACCCAGGAGACTCCATCGGGCACTCTGTTGTTGATGTGTCTATCCAGCCATGGCAATGGCTTGTGAGGTGCCGTCTAGTCAATTCCACCTCCAGTGACATCCATCTTACTCATGTGACAGAGGGGACCGTCCCAGAGGCTTTCCTAGGCTGACGATGATGGGAGCAGAGAGCCAAGGTTGGCTTTTGACTTTTCCTCATGAGGGGCTTGGGGTGTTCGACCTGCCTACCTACCTGATCTTTTGGTAGCAGCAGCTACCAAACCAAGCACCGTGCACAGCCGTGGCACCACTCAAAAGCAAGCCAACAAACTTGCTGCTATTGAACCTTCCCCAACTCATAACGGCCCCCCAGGACAGAGTAGGATGGGCCCTGTGGGTTTCCAAGACTGTAACTCTTTACAGGAGTAGAAAGCCTCGTCTTTGTCCCTCAGCTGGTGGTTTTGAACTGCTGGCCTTGTGGATAGTAGCCCACTATGTCACCAGGGCTCCTAGGACACCACTCAAATGCTCTGCCACCAAGTGATTCCGACTCATAGCAACACTATAGGGCAGGGTAGAACTGCCCCTGTGGGTTTCCAAGGCTGTAACTCTTTATGGGGGCAGAAATCCTCATCATTCTCCCATGAAGCATCAACTGGTTTCAAAACGCTGACCTTGAGTTTAGCAGCCCAATGTCAGAGTAACCCTCTGGGCCACCAGGGACCCTTTTCCCTTCCATTTCTAGTTCCATGTGGGGGAGTTGTTGTTTCTCCACAACAGCATCCAAAAGGCCCCTTGATTTAAAGGGTGGTCAGGCTTCTTAAGTACTCTTTCCTGGTAGGCATAAACTTTAATTCTAGAAATGCAAGAAAGCAAAATTTGGCTTAAACAATCTTCCTTTATAAACCATGGTATATCAAATTGTATCACTGCCCTAATTTCTTCTTCATAACCCTGATCGATAATTCCAGTAACCATCTGAACACCATGACAATTTAGGTTGGGCCTTCTTAATGAACGTCCTATAGTTCTTTCAGGTGGCAGACCCCAAGTACTGTTCTTAATAATCTCTGGTTTAATTCCAGTGTGGGGCTTTACCTCATAACTGAATAACTCCAGTATCAATTTGAATGCCTTGAGTACTTAGATTAAATTTCCCTGATAAGAGCTGTCTTGCTCTTTCGAGCAGGGGCTCCTGC